GGCTGACGCTCTATCCACTGAGCCAAGCCGGCTAGGGCACCCCTGGTCACATTTAACACCTCTTGGTCCCAGCCTATTTCATGTACTTGAGGACTTGGCTACTTGAATGCCTCCTCTTTCTACTGCAGCCACAGTCTCAGCTTCTCTACATGCCATTCTCACAGTGATCTCAGCAGCTGAAGTTTCTTGCCCAGTAAATATTCAGAATAAAGACAAGACTCCCTGTCTCCCCATTCACCTCTAGTTCCATCGCAATCCTCTGTTCTCCTCACAGCAAAGTTCCCAACACAGCATTGCTTAGTGTTATGGGCTGAATTGTCTCTCCCTCCGCCCCCCATCCCAATTCATACATTGCAGCCTAATCCCTAGGACCTCAGAGAATGTGACTGTATTTGAAGACAGGGCCCTTGAGGGAGCGATGAAGTTAAACTGAGCAGTTTGAGTGGGCCCTAATCCTTCCCAGAAGAGACACTTAGAACACGACAGCACAGACTAGGGGAGGGCACAGAGAGAAGGCAGCCATCTGCAAGCCAAAGAGAGGCCTCAGGAGAAACAAGCCCTGCTGACACCTTGATCTTGGACGTCCAGCCAATCCAAGTACATGCCCTTGACCGAGAATTGAACCCGGTGTGTTCAGTGTGCAAGCTGGTGTTCTACAGCCTTTAAAGTCGGGGTGTTACAGAAACTGGAGAAAGCGCTCAGTCTGCAAAACTCACGGATCCCTCATCATCCAGCATCCATTACCCAGCTCTGAGGGCTCCTGTCCCTATACCCTGGCCGCTGTGAGGTGGTCCATCCCCCTTCTCCTTCCTGGTGTCCCCGCCAGCACAGAGCCTTTTCATTTTCAGGTTTTATTCCTCATCACCAGGTGGGATAGGGCTACACAAACTAAAATGTGGGCCTAGAAAGGTCCCAGGACCTTCAAAAGCTAGTAGACTTATACCCCTCTTCCACAGATGCTAACAGGCAGCCCAGTTCCATTTCTGCTTCATTTCACAAAGTGGAGGTCACAAACCTCCAGCTTCCTCCTGCTCCAGGCACTCTGGAGACCAAATTGGACCACCTTCTTCCTTCTTTTCTTTTCTTTCCTTCTTTCTTTCTTTCTTTCTTTCTTTCTTTCTCTTTTCTAAATATTTATATATTTTATTGATTTTTTACAGAGAGGAAAGGAAAGAGATAGAGAGTTAGAAACATCGATGAAAGAGAAACATCGATCAGCTGCCTCCTGCACACCCCCTACTGGGGATGTGCCCGCAACTAAGGTACATGCCCTTGACCGGAATCGAACCCAGGACCTTTCAGTCTGCAGGCTGATGCTCTATCCACTGAGCCAAACCGGTTTTGGCCCGCCTTCTTCCCTTTCTTAGGACGATAGGTTTTGCTGGAATACCAAGGACTGTTCTCCCAAAATGCAACTCCAATAAAAGATTATTCTGTCCTTTTCAGACACTTGACAACATGCTGACGAGACGACGGCAGAAGCTCAGAAGACCGTCGTTATTGGCAGATAGATTCAAAATAGACTGGAACACTTGTTCGTGGTCTGAAGGTTGAGCTGAGCAGCCACCCTGTGGGCCCCCCCTGCAGCTCGGTAGGAAACAACAGCCTTTAGCGGCCTTCGGGCAGCTGGCAGGGCCATGGCCACACCTGCCTGTATCCGCAGAGGCAGGGGCGCTCGCCGTATTGTGTCTGGTGTCGGCATAAGTGTGGGCCTGCCCGGCGGTCCTTCGGGACAATAGCACTGGAGGCTGGACCCCTTCTGCGGGGTTAGATGAGGGATGCACCGAGCCCCGTGGAAAACAGACGGGAGGACCCTGACAGATGGGGAAGGTCGCTCCCCACCGCAGGGGGTGGGCCTGGCAGTGGGTACTATAGCAACCCACGGGGAATGTCCCTGAGCGTTAAAGGATGGTTGGCTTCACTGGGTCTGCCCAGGGCGGGGAGCCTGGCTGGGTCTTTGTCAACCAATGGTTGATAGGCTGGCTTGCAGCTGTGCGGTGTGACAGTTGGGTTGTGTTCAGACAGCTCTCTGCTGTGGAGATGGCATCACTCCTGGGTCTCGCTTTGGCTGCGCGTGTGTGTGTGTGTGTGTGTGTGTGTGTGTGTGTGTCTGTCTGTCTGTAAACCAGTGGCAGACCGAAAGGGATGCAGAGGGAACGACTGGCCCCAGGTATGGGCAACAAGCAGGGAATTTCTCTCTGTGTGTGTGTGTGTATGTGTGTAGAGAATTTTAAAATGGACGAAAAGTCAGTTTGTGTTTTTAATTATATTCATGCTCAAAGTGTTCCCCCAAAATATCAGTGGTAAAATGCTCATCCCTCCCAGGGGCAGACTTTCCCAGGCCCCCCACCAACCCACCACCTTCGTACCCCCCTGGGATAAACAAGCACCAGGTGAGAAAATTCTAAACCAGTCAGAGAGTAAACAGAACGCAAACGATGCCTCAGATAAGATAAGAAATGCTTTTATCCCTAGCACCCCGCTTTGTGCTGTGAGGCTTTGTGCTGTGAGGCTTTGTGTTTCGGCTGCCGATTGCCACTTTTAACGCCACCCCAATGGTTAGTGCCGTACAGCAACAGCCGTGTATTCGCTGCGACTGCCGACTCTGCGATGTCCGACGCCTCATCCCTTGCCCATGCGAGGGCTGGCACTCCCTGGCGGGCTTTTCACTCCTGTGTCCAGCGTCTCAGCGGGGATGGCTGACTAGCCAGGGGCTGGCCACGCCTCTTGCTTTTCCCACTGGCCTTTCCACAGAGCGTGGGCTTCCTCGCAGCATGGCGCTCCCTTCTTGGTGCAGAGCAGTTGTGGGGCTTTCTCAATGCCTGCTCTCGGAGGGCCTAGCACGCTATTTCTGCCACCTTCTATTGGCTAAATCGGTCGCAGGGCCCATGCAGATTCAAGGAGAGGAAAAGCAGACTCCGCTTCAGCACGAAGGAGATAGAGTTGTGACCGTCTTCGAAGACATCGCCTGCCTCACGTTGTTTTCTCCGTCGTAACGAGGTACTGTGCGCTTCCACGTTTTGCCTTACTGGTGATAAAACTTTTACCGAATTGGAAAAGGTAAGTCTAGTTTGACTTTTAAAAACTTAGACCCTTATAGTGATCAGTAGAGGCCTGTCGTGTGTGAAGATTCATGCACTAGGCCTTCCTTCCCCCGGCTGCCGGCACCTGGGACCCAGGCCTTTGCTCCAGCCTCAGCGGAGAAGCCAAGCCTCTTGGCTCTGTGCCTGCATATGCAAATTAACCTGCCATCTTTGTTGTGTTAATTTGCATACTCATTCCTGATTGGCTAGAGCACATGTGTCAAACACATGGCCGGCGGGCCAAATCCGTCCCGCCAGGCCTTGCAATGTGGCCCGCACTGCGCTGTCATCACTGCACTCCGCTGCGTTTCCATCACAATGACAGTTTATGACTGTTCAGTAAACCATTCGGCCCACGATTTAGGCTGGATTTTAGATTTTGGCCCCTTCTCTGATTGAGTTCGACACCCCTAGGCTAGAGGGTGTCATGGAGGTACATCAATTTGCACATTTCTCTTTTATTGGTGTAGATGCCTTGGTTCTGAATGGAAACAGGGTTTCTTCATAGATTCCTATGGAACAAGAGATTCTAGGACTCCAAACATACAAAAATATTAGGATGCGCCTGGTTTGCCTAAAATCCAAAGCATGCTCAATGCTGTGAGACTGTCCAGTCCACGAGTCACAGGCCACATTTTGGTGACTATTTCTGGGTGTCAGATAACCTTCTGCACTTTGATTTGCATCCTTTAAAACCAGTATTGTTGGAAGAGGACTGAACACGGGGTTCTTGTGAGCATCAGAATGTGCTCATCTTTCATATACGGCAATGTGTGCTATACCTGTGAGCAGGTAGGCCACTCGGGACTGCCCACAGTACGCATGTATGATGGTGGAATAGAGATATAATCTCCCTGGTCACTGGAGAGCTTAGATGCAGAGCCTGGGGGTGGAGGGGTGTCTCCTAACCCTCCGTCCTCCAGGGTTTCCCTGGGATCCCTGTCTCCACAGCCCAGGCCCATCTGCCGCCGCCTCTGCCTCGCCGTCCCCCTGGCTGAATGCTGAGCCCGTGGGCCAGATGTCAGCATCTGGTATCAAGGACCTTCCCCAGGTGAGGCCTGGTCCGTACCTTCAAAGGAAGGGCGGGTGGCTGGCATCCTCTGTATCTGGAACCAGACTTTCCTTCCAAGAAGTGAGCCTGCTGGACCTGCCACATCTCCAGGTTTTATTTTATTTTTTTAAAAATATGTTTTTATATATTTCAGAGAGGAAGGGAGAGGGCAAGAGAGAGAGGAACATGAGGGATGAGAGCAAATCACAGATGGCCTGCCTCCTGGGGCCTGAGCCGATAACCCGGGCATGTACCCTAACCGGGAATACAATCCGGGACCCTTCCGTCAGCAGACCACTCTCTACCCACTGAGCCACACCAGCCAGGGCCTCCGCTCCGGGTTTCGGCCTCCGTGCATGGGCCTGGGTGAGCCTTCGGGGGTCTTTAGGCCCCCAACCCTCTCCACGCCCTTCAATTTTCCCCTCACAACAACAACAACAACAACAACATCAACAACAACAAAGGCTTTGCACCCACGGCCCTGGGCCAAAGGAGTAGCTGGGCCCGGGTCCTCTGTGGCCTCCGCCTTCTTGGGGTGTCCCCTCTCTGCACCCCAGCCCTCCTGGGCGCCCCGCGTGGCCCGCGCCGGGCCCCCCGCCCCCCGGGCCCCCTCCCCGCTCGCGCCGCCGCCGCCGCCGCTTTGTTGCCCGGGCTTGTTTCTAACGCGAGCGCCGCGCCAGGTCACGTGCGTTGGAGACAGCCAGTCGCAGGGCGGCCCCGCGGGCCCCGCGCCGCCCATTGGCCGAGGCGGCCGGGGGGCGGGGCGGCGATCAGCTGTTGCCTGCGCCGCACAACAACAAAAGGCGCAGACGGGCCGGGGGCCGCGGCAGCTCCGGAGGCCGGCGCCGCGCTGTTCCCGATCCCGGCTCCCCCGCCCGCGCCCCCCGGTCCCGCTCCGGCTCCCGCGCGCGGAGCGAGGCGCCGCTGCTCCGCCGCCCGGGCCCACGTAAGTGCGGGGGGACGGAGGCCCCGGCCGCCCCTCCCTCGGCGGCGGGCCCGCGAGCCGGTGCGGCGGAGGCCACCACGCGGACCTGGGCCGGGCCGGGCCGGGCCGGGTGCGGGGTGGCGGTTGGGTGTTTGGTTTCTCCCTCCTCCCCCGAGCGTGCCCCGTTCTCTGGGCCGCGGCGGGGTCCCCTCCTCCTCCTCACGCCCCTCCGGCGCTCGGCCGTTGGGCTGGGACCGCCCGCCGGGGGCTCCTGGGCGCCCGCCGCCTGGGCAGCGCCGCCCCGGAGCCCCGCGCCCCCTCCGCCCGCCCCCCGTCCCCGCCGGTTCCTACCAGCCCCGCTGGAGGCTGCACCTGTGCAAAGCGCGCTCCGCCATCAGAGTTCCAATCTCCGGGTGCGGGTTCACGATGGGCCACACACGCGTTCTTTATCTTAGTTTATGGACAGGAAACCCGAGGCCCCGAGAGAGAAACGTAACACAAGGCCCGTTAAAAGGACACGGTGTTTCCTCTTTCAGAGACGGAGATGAACTTTTAAGTGAGGCTTTCTTGTGTTCACTGTACTCGGCCCAATATGTCTGCTCATCATCTTCTGTTCGTGCCACTCGTAGACGAAGGAAGAACCCCCCTTTATGTCTGTAACTCAGGAGGACTTGGCGCATCTGTTGCTAAAAGTAACCCTTTTCTGAATACAAAGTAGTTTTTTGTGGGAAAGGGAGGGGGGGCAGTGACCTGTGGGGGTCATGGGAGGGAAGTTAGGACAATCCTGACATGGCTTGGTCATTGAAACACATGTTTCACTGCAGATGTGAAAAGCACTAGGAAAGCTTGTGATTTGAGGTTGCAGCCACCATAATTCTCTGGACTGGCAGCATCATTTTTCAAAGGTCCCTGCCTGGAACAGGGACTTAACTAATTTCTAGGACCAAGGCCTCTTATTCTGTTTTGTTTTCCCCCCATTCTATCTTTTGTTCTTTTCTGGGAGTGCTCCTTTCTAGTTCTTTTTGGGAATGGCCCTACCTTCAAGGCTAACAGGCCATGATTTACCACCTCTCCCTGTCTTTGTCCACTGTCATTCAGCCTCCCGGCCCACTCTGAGGGGTCCCTGGGAGAAGCCCCTGGCACAAGGGCTGGGTGAATAAGGGGAACGAGCAAAACAACTTTCTTGCTTGAGTTTCCTGAAGTTCAAAATGGATTTTAAATGACTGGAGTCAGCATGTTTATTTTCCTAAACCAGCGAGGGGGACAGGATGTACAGAGAAACATTAATTCTGAGGCTGCTCTTCAGTGAGGATGTGTTAGTTTAGCCACCTGGTATTTAGAAACTGTCAAGAAGCCGCATCTGTACATACACAGAAGTTAGATCATCAAAGCTGGGAGGGTTTTATTTTTTAATGTTGTTTTTGGAGCCGCCTACTGGCAGCCAAAACCAACTGAGAAGCGCTGTTCTCTGGTTCCCAGAGCCGGAGCGGAGGCTGGGAGGGGCCTGGGAGGTCATGTGCAGCGAAAAGCAATGCGTTTGGAACCCGACCGACCTGGGCTCCCGTGCCAGCTCCAGCCGCACCGGCTGTCACTTTTGAGCAAGTTCCTTAATTTCTGAGCCTCCGTTTTCTTATTGGTGCAGTGGGACCCACAGGTTCCTCGGGTCCCTGTCACATACCATCAGCACGCAGTACATTTGCAGCTCAAATTATTATATATTTTGCAAAGACACTCAGATACTATTATATAAATATTTTGCAGATAAAGACACAAAGATACTAAGTTACTTGCTCACAGTCAACAACTGGCCTGAACTTGTTTGTATTTACCGGGTACCTCCTATATGCCAGGTTGATATTTTAAGTGGTTTACCCTTAATCCCGTTTTAGAGGTAAGAAAACTGAGACATAAAGAAGTCACTAAATATCCTAAATTCAGGCAAGATGCAAATAGCAGAGCCAGGATGCAAACACAGCGGGCGGACACCGGAGCCTCGCCGCCTGTGGGCTGGTGCCAAACAAGCTCTTCCAGACTGGCAGCCTCTTTCTCAGCCGGAATGCTCTTCCCAGAAGGATCAACGCAGCCCTCTCTCTCCGCTCACAGAGCGTTTCCGCCCATGTCACATGCAAAACACCGATGATGAAATGGGAAGTAACAGCAGGGCGCAAGGTTGTGCTTTCACTAGACCGGCACTAATGATAAAGAGAAACACGGAGAAGGAAAGGATGGAGCAAAATGTACACTATACTAATGGTTACACCAAGACGGGGAAGAATAGCTCTCCTAAACTCTGTAATGCGGTTTCATTCATTTTTTGATGAAAAGGACAGTTTAAGGGAGTGTTTTGAGCCAGGGTGACAGGGACAGAGCTGCCTTGCAATGCTGGGGCCCCACAGACTCTGTTTCCTCTCTCCGCGGGGGGACCGCGGGATGAGCCGCTCCGCTGGGGCTGGGTGAGGCTGAAGGCCGGGGTGCCCCAGGGAAAAGCAGCGCCACCCGCCGGTCTCCTTCCTGAACCCAGAGCTAGTCCTCGTGGGACTTTCACTGCAGTTTCGTCATTGCCCTCGAGCTGTGAACATCATCAAGAAATGGGTGGCACATAGTGAGGAGTGAGGCCCGTTCGGCTTTCTCTTCGGCTCCAGGAGCACCCAGCCGGGCGGAGAGCACTGTGACCCTGCGGGGGCCAAGGTCAGGAGTGGCAGTGACTGGGCAGAGTCCCGGGTACCGGGAAGGCAGGCAGGACTCCATTCTGTACCCTTCCCCAGGTGGCCCATGAGAACCAGCGGTGACTCGGGGGAGAGGGGGAGCCCTCTCTTGCTCGCTGTGCTCCTGAACACGGCGCCCGGATTGGGTGCCCTGCAGGGCCTGGCACACTGGGCGGCGGCCTCTGCCGGCAGGAAGACAAGAAGGCTGGCTGTGCCGCCCCACGGAAAGCTCCTTCGGAGGCGGGGACCCTCTCCCGGGTCGGCTGTGTATGCTCCGGGACAAGCTGGCTTCCATCGCGTCCGCTTGGAGCTGTAGGCAGAGGGCCGTCCACAGCTGCCCAGCCACAGGGGGCCCGGCAGTGTTTCCTGCCTTACAGCCGCCGTCTGTCCGGTCTGGGCCCATACAGCATCAGTTGGGGCACACAGTTCCTTTAGGATGAGCAAGGGCTCCCCCGTGGGTGTGTCCTCTGCCATCCACCCAAACCTCCAGCTTCCTGTTTGGTGCGGGGCCTGCATCCAGCCCAAGCCCGGGACCTGGTATTCAGTCCTGGCTGGCTCAGCAGACAAACATACACTTGGGCCACAGTCCGCCTCCGTAATGGAAAAGAAATGGAGAAAAGATGTTTAAAATAACTTTTCCCCCTTCTGGTTTATACATGCAAACCTTTATTTACACCAGAGCTAGTGACAGCCATCTTTGGGACATGTGTCAGGCCAACTGCACAGCCCCCTTTTCTGCTGGCTTGTTCTGAGAGCTCCAGCCCTCTCAATCGGCCACGTTGCTTTCCAGAAGGGTTTCAGGAAGACTGTTATGCAAGTGATACTTCCTGTTTACCTGCTTTTCATATTTAATGGCTTAGGGTGCTGGGTTGCGACCACAAATTCGTAGTAGTTGTAATAGCATGCCAAACAATTGTAACAGTCCAATTTGGATGCAATAGCGTGAACCAGGAATCACATGAGCTAGAGATTCTAATTATATTGACAGTCAAAGGTGATTGCTTTGGAAGAGAAGGTCAGCCCTGGCTGATGTTTGTCAGTGGGTAGAGTGCTGTGGGTTCAATTCCGAGTCAGGTCACATATCCAGGTTGCAGGTTCCATCCCCAGTCAGGATACATGTGTGACGCAACCAATCAGTGTTTCTCACATCGATGTTTCTCTCTTGCTCGAAAACCCCATCCCTTCCTCTCTAGAATCAATGAAAAACATCCTCAGGTGAGGATTTTTTTTTAAGTGAAAAATGTCAACAATCTGAAGTTATAGATTCAAGGCTCATGCTCATGTGAAACAGAAGTGTCATTTAGTCACTTTTCACCCCCCCCAGGTGGTCCCATCCACTCCTACCGTTTCTGTCACCCACTTTGCATTGACAAAGCCCCACATTCAGCTGCCCGCTAGACACCTCCAGTTGTGTGCCTGAGGTCTCCCAGATTCAGCCTGTCGGAAATGCGCACCCTGCACTGTACGCAGCACTCCTTTTCCGGAAAATGGTCTCTGTCCTCCAGTTGGCCAAACCTGGTCATCCTTGGCCTTCCCTCTCTTTAACCTCTGACTCGCCCCGCCCAGCCTGTTCTCACAACTGTCCGTCTGAACCTTAGGCATACTGAAGGTGCCTCCTACTCACTCAGGGGCAGGTTTCCAGTGTCCTTTCTCCCCTTCCTCCATTCTTTTAAAAATATATATATATTTTATTGATTTTTCACAGGAAGGGAGAGGGATAGAAACATCGATGAGAGAGAAACATCATCCAGCTGCCTCCTGCACACCTCCCAACGGGGATGTGCCCGCAACCAATGTACATGCCCTTGACCGGGATCGAACCTGGGACCTTTCAGTCTGCAGGCCGACGCTGTAGCACTGAGCCAAACCGGTTTCGGCATTCCCTTCCTCCATTCTTGATCATTTCAACCACTCAAGGTTAAAGTCACTTTTGAAGTTCTTTTCCTGACCACCTGCTGTGTGGATCTGTCCTGTGGACAACCAGTACTTCTTCCATGGCATACATCACGCTGATTGTTCCACTCGCCCCGGAGGGCTTTATTTACTCCTGTCTTCCCTGCATTTAACGCTACATCTGATGCATAGTAAGTGCTCCATAAGTATTTGTAGAATAGTTGACATTGACAGGACTTTGTGCCAAATGCCTTGCCAAGTAGGTTGCCTGCATTATCTCATTTCATTATAGACTTCAGAAAGGAAGGGAGAGGGAGAGAGAAACATCAATGATGAGAAAGGATCATTGATGGGCTACCTGCTGAATGTGCGCCCCTCTGGGGATCGAGCCTGTAACCCTGGCATGCACCCTGTGAATCAAACCATGCCCTCCTGGTTCATAGGTTAATGCTCAGCCACTGAGCCTCACCGGCCAGGCCGTTATCTCATTTTACTAGAGTAGGATCAGGGATTCTTGGTGATTGGCAGGGGGGGGGGGGGTGGGGGGGGGCGGACGACAACGACAACAGGAAGGTGGTCTTCAGCTAGGATGAGCGTGGTGGAGGGAGGTGGATTGGGCCACACACAGGCAGCTGGAGTCCAGAGCACTTGCTGATAGCTGGGAGGAGGGGGGGCGGGGGGAGGATGGCCGAGCGGAAGGAAGCCAAGGGGAACTGCTGGTTTGGGGCCTGAATAACTGCGGGCTGCTGCCGCTCACTGAGAACCGATGAAGGGCAGGGCCTGAGTTTGTCCCGGTGTGTGTGTGTGTGTGTGTGTGTGTTAAAAGTTCTCTTTGGGGTGGGTTAGCTTTGATAGGCTCTTCAGGTAGCCAGGAGACATGAACATATAAATCTGGAATAGGACAGACAAGGCTGGAGGCCCTCATTTAGAACTCACCAGACTCCCTGAGGTGGGGCTGCTGCCCGTGGCCACAGTGTCATTTCCCACCTCCCAGGCGGAGGCCGGAGCCAGCGCTGAGCCGGCTCACAGACCTCCGCTGCCACTGCCCTGATGGCTGTCTCCACCGTGTTTCCTACTCAGTTTTTCCAGGCCAGCTGTAGGAATGGTTGTGGCAGGTAAAGTGCAGAACTTGCAGGTTTTAAATGCAGTTAGGGATGCTTACAGTCACATACAGAAATACAGAGCACAGGGGAAGGCGAGGCCTGGCACAGGGTGGGCACTGGGCACTGCTGCTGGGCTCATTTGGCAGCTCTGGGGCACCTGACTATCCTATTGCAAGACTGTTAACATCTAGTTTTTGCTCCTCTACTTACAGAAAAGCAGTATTGCAGTTTAAATTAATGCTCTTATCATTTAAAAACTGAATTCTAGAATGAATTACAATTTTACTTACAAGAAACTGTTCTTAATTCATACGGTAAACAGCTAAATTTCTGTTTTGGATTGGGTGCTGCACTAAGAGCTAAGGCAGCTAAAATCAAGGGCATCGGCCCTGCCCTGAAGGAGCCGTCACTAGTCACAGCGGCCCAGGCCCTGTGGGCGGCAGTGCCCTCCACACCAGGACGGGCTGGGCGTGCGCCAAGGCCGGGGGCACAGCCTGCATCGGGCTGTGGAAGTAATTCTACAATCACTGAATCACAGTTTTTAAAATCTTTTGTCTTTTAATTACAGTTTACATTCCATATTCTGTTGGTTTCAGGTGTGTATCAGAGTGGATAGTCAGTCATGTACTTTACAAAGTGTCCCCCCACATAATTCAAGTAGTACTATGCCTGGTTATTACAATATTACAGACTATATTCCCTACGTTGTACTGTGTATCCCCGTAAGTATTTTGTAACTACCAAGTTGTACTTCTGAAACCCTTCAACTTTTTACCCAGCCCTCCTGCCCTCTTCCCCTCTGGCAACCATTAGTCTGTTCCCTGTATCTATGCCAACTCTTGCCTTTTCATTTCACATTCTGATATTTAAAGGTTGGTTTGAGTACTCATTTATGTTTTGTAAATAATGGCTATTGCCATTCTTACGTTTGGCTCTGGCGGGAAAGGAACAGCTGTAACTGAAGGCTAAGGCGTGTGCTTTCTTCTAAGAAAGTGTGTGTGCACTTTTATTTAAATTTTAAATCCTCACCCAGGGATGTTTGTTTTTCTAATTGATTTTTACTGAGGGAGGGAGGGAGGCAGAGGAGGGAGGGAGGGAGAGAGAGAAAAACATGAATCCGTTGCCTCCCTGACTGGAAGCGTGGCCTGGAGCCTTTTGATGCTTATGGGGCAATGCTCCAAGCAACTGAACCGCCTGGCCAGGCCTGTGCCCACTTTCGAAACCACACACACGTTCTATAAAGAGAGGCTGGTTTGAAATAACCTTATTTTTGTTTTATTTTAGGGATAATGACTCTCCTCCCCGCCTAGACTGAATAAGCACCGTGTGCACTTTAAGCTCCTGTCGGAGCCATCGGGCTGACTGAAGACAGGGTTTTGAAATCTCAGCTATACAGGCATCCAGCCAAAGTCTCAATCTTGCCTTAACAATGTTCCAGAGACTGAACAAAATGTTTGTGGGTGAAAGCAATACTTCTTCCAACCAAGAACCAGAATTCAGTGAGAAAGAAGATGATGAATGGATTCTTGTCGACTTCATAGGTAAGGCATCTTCTGCCGCTGATCATCACAGCAAAAGTGGAAACACTTGCATCTTAGTTTTTGCATAAGTAAATAAATTACTTTGAAGGTTTTTAAGACTTAAACAAAAATTGGTGATAAAAAATTTGTTGAAACGGCCCAGCCAGTGTGGCTCAGTGGTTGAGTGTTGACCTATGAACCAGGAGGTCACAGTTCAATTCCTGACCAGGGCACATGGCTAGGTTTTTCTCTCATTAATATTTTTCTTTCTTCCTCTCTAAAATCAATAAGAACATATTTTTTTTTTTTAAAAGAGAAGAATGTGCCTTGACCAGCATTGCTCCTTTGGTTAGACTAGAGCATCCTCCCAATATGAGTTCGGCCCTCATCAGGGTACATCAAGATTCAGCCAGCTCATGCATACATAAGTGGAACAACAGATTGATGTTTCTCTCCCTGTCTCTCTAAAATCACAAAAATAAGTTTAAAAAAATAAAATGAAGGACTGTGAGCTAACAGAATCTCTCTCCTTTTTCTGTTCTTGACGTTGTGTCATGTGACACGCCTCCTCGTGTGGGGCTTCATCGGCACGTGGTCTCCGGTCTAGACACTTGCACTGGGCTGTCGGCAGCAGAAGACGAGGAAGACGACGTCATTGAAGAGCCACCCACCGACCACCCTTCAGTCTTTTCCTGTTTACCTGCATCTCTTGAATGCTTGGCTGACCCAAGCGACTCCTGCTTCCTCCAGTTTGAGTCCTGCCCCCTGGAGGAGAGCTGGTTCATCACCCCTCCGCCATGCTTCACGGCCGGAGGGCTGACCGCCATCAAGGTGGAGACCAGCCCCATGGAGAACCTGCTCATCGAGCACCCCAGCATGTCTGTGTACGCCGTGCACAACTCCTGCCCCGCGCTCAGCGAGGCCGGCTGCGGGGCTGACGAGCTTCACCGCCCGGGCAGTCCCAGGTACGTCGTACGTGCTTCTCCACACGCATCTGGTCAGCGTGTATTTTATTTATTTTTACTGCAGTTCAAAGCTAAGTTTTTACAAGGCACAAGACCAGTTTTGTTAGAGATTTATGGAAGTATGTGCAAAGTGCACAAGGCAGCTAATGGTATAAAAAATGTGTTCAATTTAGATTTTTAAAAAAGTTACATATCCTCTTAATCTGTTTTTTCATTGTCCTCAGTGCCCATGTTAACATTTCTGACCTACGCAAACATATATTTGTTATTTTGCAGAAAGCACACACCTGACATGCTGAGTAATTTTCAGTAGTAAACAAGGCAGTGGTCCTCAACCTTCCTAATGCTCCCACCCTTTAATACAGCTCCTCATGTTGTGGTGACCCCCAACCATAAAATTATTTTCGTTGCTACTTCATCACTGTAATTTTGCTACTGTTGTTATGATAGAGTAGTACATAGCGATTCATTAACAGTAGCAAAATTACAGTGATGAAGTAGCAACGAAAATAATTTTATGGTTGGGGGTCACAACATGAGGAACTGTATTAACGAGTCGCGGCATTAGGAAGGTTGAGAACCACGGAGTCTTAAAGGAAGAGGATGATTTTGTAGGAATCACATTTCAAGTATAAGATACAATTGGGGGGAGGGAGAGAAAAGCATTGTAGTATGCTCGTTATGTAATGGAGAGCCATTCTATTTACAATGTTTAGCTAACTCATGGGAAAAAGACTGGCATTTCTGCCAGAATCGAACCCTGGCACTGTACAGACCGGATTATTTGAGGGTGACAAGTTTGACAAGAATAATAAGTCTTAAGACACTTCTTTTCGTCCAAGCAGTCTTGGCGAGGTCACTTCAAATGGCTCTTAACCTTGAAAGCATGAGCAATCTTAAGCATGAAGTAAAATGGTTGTTTTACTAAAATATTTTGCTCAGGAGTTGTTTTCTGCCTTAGAGAGGGAAGCTTTCATACCCAGCGTTTGTTGATAAGACGGGTGGGGAGCCAAGTGGTCTGGCAGGCTGTTTCAGTGCCAGGTGGATTGAGGGCCTAGAAAGGTTCCAGGAGAGTGGCTGGCCAGTGACGTTTGATATGTTCCAAAGCAAACCTGTAGACATTGTGTGGCCTTTTTCCAGGGAATATACTCAAGATTCATGGCAGAGTTAATTAACTCCAAGCCCGGCTGGTCCATGATGTGCATTAGAGGAAGGCTCCCTGTGGACGGGGCTGCTTAGTCCCTTTAGCACCTGGCAAGGGCAGGGTGAGCCTGAATCTTCGGAGCGGTCCAGAGTATTCCTGTAGTTAGTGTCACCATCCACAGGGCTTCTTTTTGGATCCTCCAAGCTCTGACTGCAAACTAGACCATTGTATATATCTTCCATTTCCTGTTTGCCAAATATAAACAAAGCCCCAGCAGCTCACTGATTTGTTAACTTTATCAGAGTTTGCTGTACTCTTAAGTCTTGATATTGTAGATTATCTTGAAGGAAGATAAACATATGCTTGTACCAAATTGAAAAACAATTTGCTTCTATAGTTACCTAGGCTTTCTACTAGGTAAGACCTTTGATGGGAAATGTGACTATAACTGGCACTTTATTCAGTGCCATAAGTTTATTAAGAGGTCAGTGTTTCAGGCATTCCAACAAAAATTCCAAATATAATTTTTTTGGAGGCGATACTGATATAATTGCATCATACTAATTCAAATTAATTTCTTCAGTTCTTAAAAATTCTTCCTGATTCTGATCTCACCTTTTGAGAAATTATATTCAAGAATTTAGCATGATTTTTAAAAATATATTTTATTGATTTTTTTTACAGAGAGGAAGAGAGAGGGATAGAGAGAAACATCGATGAGAGAGAATCATCGATCAGCTGCCTCTTGCACACCCCCTACTGGGGATGTGCCCGCAACCAAGGTACATGCCCTTGACCAGAATTTAACCTGGGACCCTTCAGTCCACAGGCCAATGCTCTATCCACTGAGCCAAACCAGTTTCGGCTAGCATGATTAATAGTCACTTTAAACTTACTGTCATCCTCATATAATAAAGAGGTAATACGAAAATGGTCGTTATGCATGCATAATGACCGATCACCAGGAGGGCAGGGAAGTGAGCTACAAAGTGGGGAGAGCTACAGGGAGGGCGGGCAGCGAGCTCTGCAGCGGAGAACTAGTGGTGGTGGGTGGGGCAGCCTGCTGAGCAAGCGGCAGCGAGGTACTCGGCACGGATCTGTGCGTAGGGCCACTAGTTATTTTTTTTGTTTGTTTGTTTGTTTTTGTGTGTGTGTGTGTGTATTTTCCAGTATTTTGTTTTGTTTTCTTTATTTTTTTAATATTTTTATTGATTTTTTACAGAGAGGAAGGGAGAGAGAGAGAGCTAGAAACGTCCATGAGAGAGAAACATCGACCAGCTGCCTCCTGCACAGCCCCCACCAGGGATGTGCCCGCAACCAACGTATATGCCCCTGACCAGAATCGAACCTGGGACCTTTCAGTCCGCAGACCCACGCTCTACCACTGAGCCAAACCGGTTTCGGCTATTTATTTTTTTTAAAGAAATAATTTTTAAAATTTTCAGGATAGTTTTTATTTTTTATTTTTAAAGATTTTATTGATTTTTTACAGAGAGGAAAGGAGAGTGATATAGAGTTAGAAACATCGATGAGAGAGAATCAATCAGCTGCCGCTTGCACACTCCCCACTGGGGATGTGCCCGCAACCCAGGTACATGCCCTTGACCGGAATCGAACCCGGGACCTTTCAGTCCACAGGCTGACGCTCATTCCACTGAGCCAAACCGGTTTCGGCTATTCTCCAGTATTTTAAAGTATGTGTGTATGTATGAGGATATATGTTATCTGTAAGTATATATACATATATTCAGCAGCTTTATAAATAATGTTGTCATAGAAGCAGTACATATGTATTGCAGAAAATAGAAAATGCAAATGTGCGAAACTTTGAATGACACTCTTCCTGCCCGAGATGACTGCTGTTGGGAGCCCAGGGCATAGCCTCCCGGATTGTCTTTCCTGCGCGTTCTGTGCGCCGTGCGCACACACCATGCACCACTTTTACCCTGAACGGGATCACGCTGCATGTGCTGTTTGATAATCTGCTTCTTTAAGCAATGATCTCCACCTTTTTTTTTTTTTTTTAAGTAAAATTTCACTTCATCTGCCAGAAACCATGTGCTCAGCTTTCCTCACTGGAGCCTGGACTATTTCATCCAGTTTGCACAAAGCAGCATCCAGCCCAGGCCTTGCATTTTGAAGCAGTGAGACTGTCATTTCTTATGTCTTGTTTTTGTATCTTTTTATACTTTCATAATGACAACAGGGAAGTAAAATATGTACTTTTCCATATGTAACAGTTCAAAAAAACATTTAACTTTATATAAATTCTTTCTGAACACGAAGTACTGTAAGTTGTTATAACTAAAATATTTTGTGTATATATATTTTATTGATTTTTTACAGAGAGGAAGGGAGAGGAACATCGATGAGAGAGAAACATTGACCAGCTGCCTCCTGCACACCCCCTTCCGGGCATGTGCCCACAACCAAGGCACATGCCCTTGACCCTCGAATTAAACCTGGGACCCTTCAGTCCTCAGGCCGACACTCTGTCCACTGAGTCAAACCAGTTTGGGCTAAAGTATTTTTTAATATCCTTATTTTTGGAAGTGAAAATTCTTGTAAGGCCTACTAAATCAAGACAGAAATGACGTGTTACCAAAATTAGGAGAATGGCTATATATTGTAGTAATTACCTGTGTTTTCTGAGTAGAAAATCATTTTTCAAAAGTTAGGTCATTTCCATTCTATATATTTATCCTTGAAAATTTTAGTGCAATGCACATAAAAGGTGCTTTATAATTACAGATGAGCTTCAGAGTGTGTGTTTTATTGTGTTTTAATCTTTACAATTATTATAATCTTTAAGTAATATATGTACCTTTAATGATCCATAGTAAACCAGTTGAAATAAAGAAAAGTTGACTACATCCTAACAGTAAAATTAAATCGCATTTTGAATCTTACTAGTGATTTAATAGCTCACATTTAACATTGTAGGGCCAGGAAAAGCTGCTTATAAGACTCACTGGCACAGAGTAAGTATGTTCGCTTGGAGCCTGTGTGATATGTGTTATCAGTCTGAGCAGGGAGGTTAAGGACTCAAGGTGTCACCTTTTAAAAACCAGTCTTCATTTTAACTTCTCTTTACTAGTTTCTTAACGGGACCTGCTTCGATTCTGTTTTTAAAAAAGTGATATTAAAAAATAATAGTGTTTTTCTCTAGTTATTACAAACTGCCTTCTCTGTGTAAAAGAACACTTAAAAATCTTAAAACTATTCAATGTAGTTTATATATACCCTATTTCATTAGCTTTTAATATAGAAAGCATAATCATGTGTTTTGTAGCCAAGGGCCTTTATAATACTACTGTTATACAAACATTGTTCCATAATGTGCCCTTTATGATATAAATAGTAAGAGGGCTGCTGCTTACAAGAAAGGTGTTGAGTAGATTTTCCTGTGCACATTTCTGTTAAATACAGGTGTAAACCTTGTCTCCTAGAACATTTTACTTATAGACAGAAAGCACTGTGAAGGTGCTTTGTCCCCGGACCTCAGTAGTCAATAACCATGGTCCTTTACAGTGAAATCTGTTAGAATCCTGGCTAATCGTCGTGACCTCAACACATCTCAGTGCCTTGGATGTCTGTTCAGTAAAACTTAAGTTAAGATCGTGGCAATAATTAAAATACAGAATATTTGCAAAACAGTTGGCAAATGCAGATATTCAGTAAACATTAGCTTCCCTCCTAGAAAAGCGTATGCAAATGCATTTGCTTTGCAATTGAAATTTATTCAAAGTGTAAAGCATTTTTTATTTTAAAAAAACAAAAAAAACACACACACACACACACACAAAACAATCTACCTAATTAACCACCTGTCAATTATACGGCCTATTTCTATTAAAAGTTGGCTGCTGCTTTCTACCACTGTCAGAATGATCACAAAATACAAACTTGTCTGTCAGCCATGAGACATTAAGTTCTCATTCGACCATAAATGAGGGTGGCAAATGGAATTGCTAACGTGCTGTGGTGTGACGCATGCCCACTGTTTGTGTTTCAGAGGGGACGCCCAGGACGAAGTGGGGCCGCACATGCACTGCTACGTGGCAGCCGTGGCTGCGCACATGGCTCTCCTGGACCAGCCCCGGAGCTTCCGCCCCGCCCTGTGGGTAAAGGAACACAGTGAGAGACAGGCTCTGAACAGAAACAGCCTGCGTCGCCAAAATCTTACCAGGGATTGCCACTCCCGGCAGGTCAAGCACAGTGGCTGGGCTGTCCATCAGCCCTGCCCACGTCAGTACAATTACTAAGAATTTCAAGTGCGGTTGGTTGGTTGGTTGGTTGCTCTTGGTTTGTACATATGTGTGTGGGTGTGTGTGTTTGGATGTGAAGTCTCTTTACAGCCACTTGGTGACCAATCACATAGTCGTTTTATTAGTGCGTTAGACACTATCTTGAAAACCAGATTTACATGCTGTGTATCACATAATGCCTTGCTCTTAACATTTGCTTTTTGGTAAATATTTTCAGAATATTTTTGGAAACATATCAATACAATTACAGTGTTTGGTGATGTCTTTAAATCTATTGAAATGTACATGAATTAGCATTTTAAAGACATTTCTTCTCAAGTGTGAGAATAGGCATCTTTCAATTTCATTTTATTTTGTATTACTTAATCTTTTGAGTAAACAAAAACTTATTCTCAGGGTCAGCCATACACTTTATTGACCAGTACTTGATAATCTTTTCTGTATATAATGAATACATTTTTACACACTAACATGAGCATTAACAGGTTATAGTTGCCATAGTTATAATGGAATTATGGCTGAATTGTCTTTTTGAAAGAAAACTTGATATATTTCTCTATGTGTGGTGTTTTGTTTTTCCAGACTAGCCATGCAGTTCATTTTGGAATTCAGGTACATTGAGTGTTAGTGAACAGTGCGTTCAGTAATTCTGGTGACTGTGATGTGGTACAGACCTTAGCAGGCCTTGTGGGACGAAAGCACTTGTCGCACACGCAGAGGATTGAAGCAGACCTGTGAAGCTGTCGTTGGAAAACGTGTGTCCATAGCCAACCCCTTAGTGCACACTTTCAGCTCTGCCCCGTCACACCCACACCAGCTGTGCGCCCACAAGTCCGTGTCCAGGCACCGAGTGACCCGTTAGGCCCGCCGCACGGGAGCGCTAGGCTGTGGTCTGGTGCAGGGGCGGCGAGGGCCGAGGGTTCTTGGGATAATTCTCCCGGCGCCCACAGGGAGTGACAGGGTGGCTTCCTTCCGTTCCCTCTCAGGCCTGGCTGCAGGCAGAATCTTCAACCACTTGGGCTGTTTCCTCCACCAGCAGGGGGCAGGCACAGCCGCCTCCCTCCCAGCTGAGGGGAAGTGGCTCAGACAGGAATTCTGAATCCGTGATGGCTGATGGGAACAGCCGTTCTCAGAGCTGGTGCTGGGAGGCCGAGTGCAGCGCCCATGCCCAGGGAGGCCAGCGAACTCCGCACGGAGAAGACCTAGTTCTGCTGCTGGCCAGGCCCTTTGCTGTTCAGCAGCTGCGATGGGTTCTGCTGAGCCACCCGCGCTCGCTAAGGTCTTCGGAAGTGAAGTTAAGCACATTTACAATCCAAAGCACGTTCTGCTGACAGACAGGAGTATTGCCTTCAAAATCAAACCGCGTCTTTTCCCGCCGCCTCTGCAAACCTAAAGTACACGTCTCTCCAACGTCCCTCGGGAAACGCAGCCTGTGGTTATGTGAAGTATTACTCTGTCTCTCGGCGACCTCTCCTTCCGGGAGAGCTGTGCCCCTTTCTGACCAGCCTGGGGGGCTCAGGACTGGTCAGGGCGGGTAGCAGATGGTGGCGGGAGGCTGTTCCTCCTTGGCATTGATGCAGGGCCAGGAATGTCTCTAGAGCAAGACTCTAGGGCCCCTTCTCTCCTTTTCCTTTCCATTTCCACGACCCCTTTATTTATTTGCTTTCCAACAGGGGCCAAGTCTGTCAAGTTTTGTCGAACTGAGCTAGAGTTATTTGTTCCTATGTGTGTTTACCTGAGTTGGGAGATGAGGGAGAGAGGGTGTTCACGAGGGTGTGTGTGTTTTCACGTGATGTCTGTTATAGGGCCATGTATTGGTAACTTGAAAAAAGACCAGCTAAATGTTTCCTGGTGTATGCCTCTGAGCACATGGGCATCTCTCCACATGTTACATGCAAGTTGTTAGTACCTCACGAGCTGTAGCAGGGCAGCATAACAGATTTCTATATAAAACCTTTATTATTTTTTCAGATCTCCTGACACTTTAAACACATTTACATTTCTATCAGTTATTGTATTTTTGTTTTCCTTATCTGGACCTTTTTTTTTTTTTTTTTTTTTTTTTTTTTTTAATGCATTGTTCCTGGAAGACAAATGATTTTAGTCTTTGGGATATCTTTTCAGGATAAGGGCTACCACACCATCTGTGATATATTGTGGTTTTTGTCTAAAATTGGCACATATAAGAAGTGAAGAAACTAGTTACATCATTCGGTGGAGGTTCTTGGTCATTAGATGTTTGTTAGGCATCCATTATGTACAAGACACACCAGTAATGATGTGGACAAGTTAAGTATTCTCTGAGACACAGCCAAAATGAAATTTATTATAAATAAATTATTTTTGCTGTTGTAAATATTAATGGTTTACAATGTGCTTTAATGCATATTTCTTAAAAATGCACCCAGTGAGAAATAAGACACCTTTGAATTCAGTGCTCTGACTGTTTCTAAACCGATAATACAGAATGTTCCTTGGAGAAAGTCTGGAATAGGTGGTGTACACAGCAGTGCTTGTGGATGAGTTTCTTAGTTCTTTAATGCACCACGTTTCTCAGTTTGTTTTTGTTACTAAAACGTTGTATAATGTATATCCTATGTTTACTACTTCTTCCTTAGCTAATTGGATTATGCACTGCACTGTAAGTTGAAGATTAGCCATTCATTATCTTCTGTGGCAATGCGTTTATATCGTTGGCTGAGGGGGGATTTTTTTATGGAAGGTGCAAAGTGTTTGAATTCCTGATTTCCTATTCCAGGGATCTTTCTTTGACATTTATTTTCTGTTCATTTTTCCAGTTTCCATGCAAATCGCTCCTCTTTTACATGCCTTCTCTGTTGTGTTGGTACTTTGATTCTAGTGAGAAGACAGCTGACTTACGACTTGAGAGGGCCATTCAGCCTTGCCTGTCGTTTCCGCTTCTCAGATCTGTGAGCTCACTGGTTGGGAACCTTACATCTTCGTGGAATTTGTCTTTGCTATTTCTCTTCCTCCTCAAGGACATGTAATGCCTTTTATGTTTTTAGGAGAAAAGAGCAAGAAGAATATCTTTCTTATCCTCATTTTCTTAGAGATGGAAACAAACAAAAATGAAGGACTCCAACTAGAAGATAGACATTTAAGCTTAAATATTAGGTTAATGGAGAAAGAGTTTCCAAGTATTAGTTTTTGTTTTTAGAATCAGTTAAGAGACTGCTCCTTGTACTGGAGACACTAGCATGTTTGTAATGTTACCGTAAAGTTACCTTATTATAGACGGCCCATACATAGATTAAATTCTTTTAAAAGGGGCTACTATCATGGATGTTTCACTGCCATTAGCCAGGCTGATGTGTTATCAGTGGCATCCTTATCTACTTATTTTATTGCTTAAATTTTTATTTAAAATGCTTTATTTAGAAAACCAACATAATGTTTGGTGTCAGCCTTGCCATGTACCAATTTCACTTGAAATATGACACCAATCACAGTGGGTGAAGGTGGAGAAAGAAGTACTGGAAAGCATACCGGTAAGGATATATTTTTCTATTTGCAACAGTATCCTGTATGCGGGAGAAGTTACTGTTCAGAGGAAGGCAGCTCACGTGGATGATGTTTTGTATATTATTGAGCATTTTTCTTACACTTTTTAAAATTGTATAATTGTTAAATGCCCAGTTTTGCTCTGTATTTGCCTGAAGTTTTAGTATTTGTTTTCCGGATGGACTTCTGAAAACCAGTACTTGGGGAGATGAGATGTGTATGTTTCCAGGTTTGGGGTGTGTGTGTGTGTGTATGAGTGGTTTTGCTTGCTTTTTGGTTGTATTTTCCTCCAGAGGTTTGGAAAATTTAATCAATAATTCTGTGTATGTTATTTAAAGAAAAAAAAAAAGTGGCTTTTTTCCCCCCCTCAAGTAAAATTGTGAACACATTTGCTTTTCAAGGGCAGGGCATCAGTTATAGAAACTGAAGAGTATTGTAGGTTGTACTATGTGCCTTCTTGATGTGTTTCTGGACACACAACTTTTTCGACAACTTGAAATCTAAAAAAGGGACATGTGGTTAGGTTATACTGTACATCAATCTATGCATAAACGGCAGCTTGTTTTCTTGAGCCACTGTCTAAATGTTTCGGTTTTTATAGAAATTTTTTATACTGATTAGTTCGTAGCTGGTCAGTTTTATACACAGACTAAACAATACAGCACTTTGCCAAAAATAAGTGTAGCATTGCTTAAAGGTTGTGTATTAACACCAGTTGTTTGTAATGGGGTCAGCGGTGCATTCTGTACCACCTGGAGTTACGTTCTTCATCTTCAGTAAATAAAATGTCCTCTAACTTCACTTTTGTCAGATTCTCTTTTTTCCCCTTTATGTTTGTTAGTCTTAAAACTAGATATATCTTAAAACATTTGCTGTTGAGTTTTACTTGTCCACAGATGTGTTTAACATACACTTTGAGTGCTTTAAAAACATGGTGTAAAATTGGAATAGTATACTAAAATTAGTATATTAAAATAACCGCTAAGGGAATATGAATTTGAAGGAAACTCCCAGCTAGTACTTTTTCCCTCCAACCAATCTGTGATTTAAAAAAAAAGCAACACACCCTCAAATATGGAACTTAATATATTGGTTTTTAGACTTTTCCAAGCTAGCTTAGTGAATTCTCAATGGCTCTTTTTCCGACAGAAAGGCAGATACAATCTTCAAAAGCATTTTAGGGGCAGTTTGGACAATGACCCATATTATGTGGCTCTGCTCTAAACAGGCCAGTATAGCCGAAACCGGTTTGGCTCAGTGGATAGAGCGTCGGCCTGCGGACTGAAGGGTCCCAGGTTCGATTCCGGTCAAGGGCATGTACCTTGGTTGTGGGCACATCCCCAGTGGGGGGTTTGCAGGAGGCAGCTGGTCGATGTTTCTCTCATTGACATTTCTAGTTCTCTATCCCTCTCCCTTCCTCTCTGTAAAAAATCAATAAAATATATTTTTAAAACCAAAAAAACTCACCAGAGGAAAGTGATGCAAAGCAGAAGGACATGCTAACACAACATCCTATTGTAACTTAAGAAATACACAGAGGCCGTGGTGGCTGGGCAGGAAGCTGACGAAGCAGAACTAAAGAACTCAAGGCAGCAGGACATGGGACAGAAACGGGCAGATTTAGAAAATAAATATAAAAAAAATACAGAAACAACAAGGAACGAAACGAGAGAGGAGACACCACTGTAAGGGACTCTGGGATATATAAAGAACAGAAACATGAAGATTAAAAAAAAATGAATGAAAATCATTAGGGAGTGAGAGAGAAGGTAATAAGCAAAGGAAATCGCACACATGTAAGGTTCATGTCCCTGAAGAAAAAACCCAGAGCAACGAGACGGAACAAACATGTTAAAAGACAGCTCAATTTTAAGTAGGGGCTTGCCACCCCTACTCACAGCGGAGGTGGGAGAATGTGGCCTCCGTCACAGACTAAGTTTAGGAACGAGGCGGGGAAGGAAGGCTGGGCTGAGGTAACCCATGGCAGGTCAGAGGTGCTCTCTGCCCCACCCTCCTCCCTGGGTGTCTAAGGTAAGGCGACCAGATGTCCTGATTTTTAACAATTTGTCCCGTGTCCCGCGGCGTTTTAAAGAAGTCCCGATTTTGGACGCGGGAGACTTGTTAAAAATCGGGACTGTGCCGCCAAAGCGGGACGACTGGTCATCCAGTCTAAGGAGCTCCACAGCTCTAAGGAGAACCACAGCGTCAGAGAGTTAACCAATGAACATGGACCCACCCAGCAACGTGAGAATCTGAACATTTTTCCATATTTGCTTCAGACGCTTTTAAGGAAACACGACGTTACGGACACAGCGGAAGCCCATCAGAGTCCCTCAGATCCCATTCATCTCCTCCAGCACCGCCAGACACCACTGTCCCGAAACTGGTCTTTCTGTTTGGGAAGCCTCCTCCGAGGACATCTTCCCATTGACTGGGAGGAAGAGTGGGAGGGCTGGAGAGGGCCACTCCTCCTCGCACCTTCCCCGTCCCAGGGAGTGACACGGGGGACACTGGCCACCCAGCTGCTCCAAACACCTGCCCGTCGTCAGCACACCCTCGGCTCTCCCACACACACGCCTGAAGCGGCCCCATCGGCTCCAGGCTCCCTGGTCCGCACTGGCCTCCAGCTGCTCTCCAGACACTCATTTATCTCCACAAATGCTGGTTTCTCTGCCCACAGCACTCTCCTGCCCGCTCTCCCTGGCTCCCCTGTATTTGTCATTGAAGCAAAGTCCTCCCACACGGGATTAGGGGCCCTTCCTACCCATAGGTCCCGCTGTGTCACACTCCCGCCTCTCCTCTCCCGTCCACCACACCCCAGCCCGACTGACCTGTTCGCCAGCTGCGCCGAGGGCTCTTCCTCCGAGCCCGCCCGCCCGCCCGCCCGCCCGCCTGCTCCCTGCGCTCTATCTGGTCCATCGCCTCCCAGCCCGCCCCAAGCTGCTGTCCTGTGTCCTCCTCCTCCTCACCACTCCCCTGCACCACCTGTGTTTGTCTCCTACGCCCTCCCGCTGGATCCAAGCTCTGAGGCAGGAATACCTGTGTGCTTCACCCGGTGCGCTGGTGTGCGCAGGAGGACTGAGTGAACTAACTGAAATGTCACCTCCCAGCCCCCTGCAGCCTCAGCAGCGCCCTCCGCCATACGACCTTCCTCTCTCTCCACAGCGCCCCCGAGAGGGAGTGTTCCCCGGCTCCCCCCCTCGTGGTCTGGTGGACGTTTTACTGATTTTTTACAGAGAGGAAGAGAGGGGGACAGAGAGTTAGAAACACTGATGAGAGAGAATCATCGATCAGCTGCCTCTTGCACACTCCCTACTGGGGATGTGCCTGCAACCAAGGTATTATACATGCCCTTGTCCGGAATCAAACCCTGGACCCTTCAGTCCACAGGTTGATGCTCTAACCACTGAGCCACACCGGTTTCGGCCCAGGGCCCTTTTCTTGTTAAAAGACACACGCTCCAATGAACCACCACAGCGCCAGGCCCGGAGCAGGCTGACCCAGCACACGCCCTCCTGTCTATTCCAACCTCTAGCCGGGGCCTGGGGTTTCCAGAACTGCCCTGCCTGGCCCTGCTCACTATCACAGACTTTGAGGGCGCTGGACCGGCCAGGACCAGGGTGTGCTCTGGCACGCACACCCAAAGACAGATGCCCGCCATCGCCATCGGCAGCGCCTCCCTCCTGGCAGTGTGCAGCCCTGGCAGGCCAGGCACTCTCCGCTCTGACTCCAGAGGGCAGCACTCCGCTGGGACCTGCTGAGCCCTCTGCAAAGCTGGTGCGGTGCCAGCTGCAAAGCTCCTCTAAGGAAGTGCTCCCCGGAGTCAGTGGGCACGCCCCTGCCTGGTCAGGGCAAGGGGAGAGGCCTGGGTGGCGGGAGAAGGGAGCAGTGGGGAGGGAGGCGTAGAAGGAAGAGCCCCATCTGGGGAAGGCAGGGCAGGGCAGGGCAGGGCAGCTCCAGAGGTGGTGGTGTTACCCGAGAGTTAATGGAGTTGGGAGTCAGATGGGGGCGGAGGGGGGGGAGGTGCAGGTGCAAAGGTCCCTGCGAGGGCAGGCGTGTGGCAAACTGCACGCGGGTGGACTTCCTGGGTGTAAGCGGCTTGTGGGTGAGGGGTTTGGCCTCTAACCCAAGGGGATCCACAGCAGGACAGTGGCCGCCTGGCAGGCCTGCGATTCAGAAATCCCAGCGAGCCCTGGCAACACGTTTCATCGGAAGGCAGATTAGAGGGGCAACACGCAACACCCCCTGGAGGGTGGCTCTTCCACAAAACACCGCGGCCTGGGCGAGTCTGTGTTGAAGAAGTGGCGTTAGAAGACGTTTACGTTTAAGAAAATGTGGCTCTCCGAAGAACTGCCAATCGTGGTGCTGTTGATATGTGGCTCGGTGGACGGATGAGTGTGCCGCCCGCTGGGACAGACTGGGCATCGTTCGGTCTGCCTAGCATGCCTCTGAGCGGCGGGGCCCTGGTGATAGGGAGAGGACTGCCCGGAGGCCAAGGCCTCGCTGGAAATAAAAGCCATTTCTCCAGGCGATTCTTGTCCTTGTGAGGTGAGGTAGCTGCGGAGGGAGGGACCTGGGAAGGCTCCACAGAGGAGGCGACAATGCAGGGAAGCAAGAAATAATGGACTGGCCTTAATTTTAAAAAAAAAGCCTGTGCCTCTAAGAATGTTCCGGGTTCCCTCCCCCTTGTCTTCTGAAAGCGAAAGCCCTGTGGACACCAAGAGTTTCTCTACCACGTGTTCTGATGCGGCATGGACAGTAGGGAAATATATACTTCAGAAAATGCCCAGATTTCTAAAATGATTACAAGCACATAGGCATTTCATACATTTCAAAGTAAGTGAATTTTTGAAGTGGGGTGAGTGGCAAAAGAAGGAGCCGGACATGAACATATAAAAATAGGAAACAATGCCGAAACCGATGTGGCTCAGTGGATAGCAGACTGAAAGGTCCCGGGTTCGATTCCGGTCAAGGGCACGTGCCTTGGTTGCGGGCACATCCCCGGTGAGGGGTGTGCAGGAGGCAGCTGATCAAAGATTCTCTCTCATCGATGTTTCTAACTCTCTGTCCCTCTCTCTTCCTCTCGGTAAAAAATAAATAAATAAATAAATAAATGAATAAATAATATATATTTTTTAAATATATTTTATTGATTTTTTTACAGAGAGGAAGGGAGAGAGATAGAGAGCTAGAAACGTCGATGAGAGAGAAACATCGACCAGCTGCCTCCTGCACACCCCTCACCGGGGATGTTCCCGCAACCAAGGCACATGCCCTTGACCGGAATCGAACCCGGGACCTTTCAGTCTGCAGACCGACGCTCTACCACTGAGCCAAAAACGGTTTCAGCAATAAAATATATTTACAAAAATAGAAAACAAAGACAACACTGAATGGTGATGCCTGAAAGAGACCCGAAAGGACGACTACACGAACACAGTTCTGAGAAACTGCGATTTTATGACTCACCCTCCTGTTCTATTCAGGACCCTTCCAATTACATCCTAATTTCTATCTGCGGGTATAAAGGAGGAGCGGGGAGGGCCGCAGAGCCAAGAGCTAGCACGGCGCAAGCGGGACAGTCTCTATGCACACTCTGAAATGCCAGCTTTGAAACAAGAGTGTCATTTTACCTTTTTGAGAGGAAACCCTTTCTCAGAGAAGCCCAGGATTTTAACCTCAGGCAACTGACAGGGAAAGCCCACGACCTGTTCAGTCTCTCGTGACCGCTGACCAGGTGCACACAGACGGCACAAGGCCCTCCGTGGGGGGGTGTTTCTCACTTCTCTCCTCACTTCACCGTCAAGGGCATGGGCCAGAGTGCATTTCTGATTCTTGTTTTCAAGTAACTTCCTAGTTAGCCCAGCGCTGGGCACCCAGTCCTTCAGGAATAATCCTGCAGGTGGTCACCGACAACCCTGGTGTCCAGGGTACCGTGATGGTCAGGTGACCAGTTCTGGTATGCTCGGGTGGAGGCCTCCCTTTCCCTAAGGCATCCTGCTGCGAGCTCTGCAGGCTGCACACTCCCCCCAGCACCGCGCACTGGAGCCCCCCCCTCCCCCAGCGCCAGGGCCAGCACTGCAAAGGCTACGGCGCTCCTTGGGGCTGACAAGATGCTGAGTCTCTTCTGATTCTGTCCGGGCAGGACTCTTTCCTATGTCCTCCTGTGCATATGTGGGTAAGGTGACCAGACGTCCCGATTTTTAACAATGTGTCCCGCAGAAAAGAAATTGGGACTTTAAAAAATATATCTATTTTATTGATTTTTTTAACAGAGAGAAAGAGAGGGACAGAGAGTTAGAAACATCGATGAGAGAGAAACATCGACCAGCTGCCTCCTGCACACCCCCTACCAGGGATGTGCCCGCAACCAAGGTACGTGCCCTTGACCGGAATCGAACCTGGGACCTTCAGTCCGCAGGCCGATGCTCTATCCACTGAGCCACACCGGTTTCGGCGGGACTTTTTTTTAAAAACGCCGCTGCGGGACAAATTGTTAAAAAATCGGGACTGTCCCGCCAGAAGCGGGACGTCTGGTCACCTTATCGGGACTTTTTAAAGACGCAGCGGGACAGACCTGTTAGAAAGCGGGACGTCTGGGCACCTTATATTTGGGACAAAAACAACCTCTTTGCCAGCGTCACGAGACTGTGGTCGGACACGCATGAGAGGAGGGGGGGGGGGGGAGGACTCCAGTGGCCCCAAAGCCCAAGCGCACTCATGTCCAGGCTCAGAGGCCCGCACGGGCCGCGAAGCACAAAAAGGCGTGGGGAGGGGACCTCGGAAGGACAATCGGGGGCGTGGAGGGGGGTCCCCGGCCGCCGCCGCCGCCGCCTCCGGGTGCATCTCCGGCAGCGCCCGGGCCTCGGCTCGGCCCCCGGCCTCTCCCGCGCGCACGCCGCCGCCGGGGCGGGGAGACGCGCTCGCCGGCCGCGTCCGGACGGAGCTCCCGGGCTGCAGGGAGCCTGCGCCGCACGGCCCTCGCCCCCGGAGGCTTTGTTCCGACGGCAGCCCCTTCCCCACCGCTCCCGCCGCGAAACCGGTCCGCGGGGCACCGCCGGCAGGTCCTCCCGGGAGGCGCCCGGACGCGGGGCGCGCTGGGGCGGGATCGTGAACGGGCAGCGAGGGGACCTACGGGGCCCCACCACAGAGGGACTCGTGACCTTTGCATATGGGGGCGGCGGGGAGGACATGCACTGGGCCGGCCTCCGCCCGGGAGAACTGGAAGGCGGGCCGCTGCCTCCCGCGCGGGCAGCTCGCGCGGGCTCCGCAGGGCGCGCTGGCGGCGGGGCGGGGCGGGGCGGGGCGGAGGGGCGGGCCCGGGGCCTGCACGTGGCGGGACAGCGCTCCCCGCCGCCCAGCCCCGGCAGAAGCCACCCCGGCCCCGCTCCGGAGGGTGTTTCCCCCGGGGCGCCCTGACGTCGCAGGTTGGGGAGAAGAGGGAGGGAGGGAGGGCGCGAACCTCTCCAGCGCGGGGACGACAGCGTGGGAAGCCGCCGAGCAGGGACACGGGGGGGGGGGGGCGGGACGCAGGGCTGAACCGTACCTCGGTCGGCGGGCTGGAGCCACGGGCAGGGTCGGCGTCCCGGAGCGCGGCTTCTTCCCGAGGCGGCCGCCGGCGGCTCCCGCGGCTCCCGGCGCCGGACGCCAGGCGCAGGGCCCACGTGGCCCGCCGCGCGCCGCGCTGTTTACATTCCGCAGCGGCTGCACGTGGTGCGCGGCGCTCGCCTCCCATTGGCCCGCTCGCCGGCCCCGCCCCCGAGGGGCGGGCCGCCCGCTCCGCGCGCCTCTGCGGAGAGAGCCCGGCTCCCCCGGGCCTCGGCGGGGCGGCGAGGGAAGGCGCGCCCCGGGGTGGCCCCTTCGCGGCCGCCCTCTGCCTCCCGGAGTCGCCCCGGCCGCCGGGCCGCACGCCGGGCCGAGCCTGACACCCTCAGGGCCCGGGCTCCCGGGCAGGAGGGAACGGAGCCGATTGGCGGGCGGGGCGGAAGCCAGCGGAGCGGGGAGCGGGGTCCGGAGGAGGAGGGGCTTCGGAGCGCTGCCTCCCGCCGGCGGGCCGCGCGGGCAGGCGGCGGGGGCGCGGGCGGCCGCGGGCTGCGCGGCCGGAGACGCCCCGCGGCCCCTCGCGGCGGGCGGAGGCGGGCCGAGGCCGGCGCGTGGGCTGCGGGCGCCGCGCGGGCGGGCGCGGGGGCGGGGCGCGCGGGCCGGAGTGTCAGTGCGCGGCGCATGCGTGCGGGGCGGGCCTATATATATGGGGTTGGCGCCGGCGCCAGCTGAGCCGAGCGGCGGTCGGGCGGTGAGGAGGTGCGGGCGGCGGGCGCGGGGCGCGGGGCGCGGGGCGCGGGAGGGAAGGAACCCGGGCTCCTCGGGCTGCCCCGCTCCCGGCGGGAGGCTGAGGCGGGCGGCGCTGAGGGCGGAGGGCCGGGCGGCTGGTGGGGCGGCTCCTGTCGGGACCGGGGGCCGGGGGTCAGGGGAGCGGCGGGGCGGGGGGCTGCCCTGGGTGCCAGGCCACGGAGACCCCTCTTTCCCCCTCGTCCTACGGGCTTCTCTCCCGCCCGCATTGGGAGCCGTCCCGCGGGAGGATGGGTGTCCGGGTCCCCGTCACGGGGAGGAAAGCCCCCGGACAGCAGTCCCCCCGCCTTGGATGGAACCCTCCTCCTCTCCCTGTCACCCCTGGCGGAGCGGGGGTCCCGGCGCCCCCTCTGAGCCACAGGCGGGCCCGAGGCGGGGGGGCGGGAAGGCGGGGAGGGCGCTGCCGGGCGCCGCCAGCCCGCGCCCGCCGCCCCTGCTCCCGCCATCGCGGGTCCAAATTGGCGCGGAACCGGCGGCTCCACAGCCCGGGGCGGGGGGAGGCGCTGTCTCCCCCACCCGCGGGGCGATGGGGGTGCAGAGGAGACCCCTTTGGGGGCGATCTTCCTTCCCGCGCTTTCGGGGCGCCGGGGTGGGTGCTTTGTGAATATTAACTCTGTGACCCGCACCCTGGCTGCGCAGCCAGTGCGGGAAATGCAGGCAGTGTCCAAAGCGAACGCCATGCCATAGCGAACGTGGTGCCGGGCAGCGGGGGGTGTCAGGCCACCTGGGGGGCTGGGCTGGAACCTCCGGGCAGCGTCCTCTGGGCACCGGAGAACGGGGATGGCGCCGTGTCTGACTCGTTCTCTCCCCTCCAGAGGTTTCCTGCACCTGGAGAGAATGTCAAGACGCAGGTAACTTTTTTTTTTTTTTTTTTTTTTGGCCTTGGAGATGTGTTTCAATGTGTTAGCTGCGGGCCTTGGGAACGCATGCTTTGCTGATTAAACGTTCTTCTTTTTTTTTTTAATCCACCGTAGTAGCCGTTTACAAGCGAAGCAGCAGCCCCAGCCCAGCCAGACGGATTCCCCGCAGGAAGCCCAGATAATTCAGGCCAAGAGGAGGAGGACCGCCGAGGTGAGAGAGGGGAGAGGGGAGGAGGGGAGGGGAGGAGGCCGCTGGCTGGGACCTCGGGTAACAGCAGCCTTTTCTGTTCTCAGGATGTGAGGAAGCGGAGAGAGGAGAAGGCGGCCCAGAAACAGCAGTATGAGATCAGGGTACGCAGACGGGGCCGGTGGGCTGGGCTTGGCCGTGGGCTCCCGGACACTTCTCCTCGGCGCCCCTAGGGGTCGGCAGGGAGGCGCTTCTCTGAAGGGTGGCTAGGAGCCTGAATCCTGCTCAAGTTTGCCTCCAAGCAGCTGGTTCCTCTTTGTGAATTCCTCCCTCTCCCCTCTCGGAGGGCGCACCGGGGCCCGCCTAATCCGTCCCGTGTCCCGCTCTTTGTTCCCCTCTGGCTGGAGGGAGGTCCTAGAGCCGCTCCTGGCGGCCCAAAGAGGATGCGGGGTCCCTGGCACACTGGCAGCCAGCCCCGGCCACCGAAGTCCTCCTGTGTGTTGTCAGGAAAACACTTGAGAGACAGTGGCGCTCTTTGAAACCAACATTATTTGGGGGAAAGGGTCCTTTAAGTAGGACTTAAGTAATTGATTCCTCTTGCTTCCATTCTTAAGGTTTTGCCTGAAAGTAATCTAAGGTGTCAGAGCAAAATTAACTGGAGGGGGGGGGGGGGAGACACACGTGGGTAAGCTTTTTATACAATAAGGTGCCCTTGCCACTATTAACAGCAATTTTATAAATCTGTAAGTTATTAGTATCAGACTACAGATGCATTGTTATTCCTCCATTCCCCCAATACGTAATGTCTTGTATTTCCAGAATACCAGTTACTCTTTATGACGATTGATATGAGCTATACAACTTATTTATGAAATATAAGTAGAACTGCCAGCTTACTAAACTACAGTCAGCATATTAGCTAGCAATGGTGTTTTGGGGGAAACTATAGACTGTTTAGAAATATTAGCTTCCATTTATGAAAGATCTCAGATAAAAGCTGGTTTCCTATTGCACACCATTCTTTTTTTCTTTTAAATGACAGAATTGTTGGCCACCTGTATTATCTGGAGGGGTCAGTCCTTGCATTATCATTGAAACACCCCACAAAGAAATAGAAACAAGCGACTTCTCCAGATTTACAAATTACAGATTTAAAAATCTTTTTATTAATCCTTCACCTTTGCCTGATTTAAGGTAAGAAAATTTTCAATAATTTAATATCAGATTAAAATTGTATGGATTTCATAAATGGCATTACTTTATTTTTTACCTTCATTATAAGATAGAAAAACCTGTAAAAAAAAATTACTTTCTTTACTGATATTTAAGGATATATAATCTAACTAGTGCTGTTTGCAAATGATAGAGGAATTTTAAACATTGATTCCATAAGGTTATTTTCATTTGCTTGCTGAGTACGGTAAGCCTTATCAGAAATGAATCACCTTTTTAATGGAGTTTAAATAATTTATCTAAATGGTTAAGATGGAAACATTTTAACATGTATAATTTGATATATCAATCCCATTTATTTCTTACCAAGCTTAGTAAGGTCTACACTTTTTTCTAGTTAATGAACAGGACTAGGAAGTACAGCTTATACAAAACCTCTAGTAATTTAGAGTCACTGTTAGTAAAATAGTTGGAGGCAATTGAAACTTGACTCTACTGGGATCATATGCTTTAAATATTTGCCTTTTTAGTATTGCTCTTGAGAAAACATGGCTATCTTATATAGGATTATAAGTAAATTGGAACAAAAAACCTTTTGAAATCTGTCAATTTAGATTATCATAATCCAAGTTTTTCCTGTATAATTTCAGGTTTCTACTTTTTTCATGCTAAATGTTAGATAAAACTACCATAAGAGTGTCTCCTGCCAAGTTCTAAATTGAAAGTTGGATTTCAGTGTCTTGAAGTTGAATTTTTCCTATGTAAAACACAGGTTGTATATTATGTAAACCACACAATTATGTCTTTTTCCCTTTTTCCATAGCTGGGGATGTTCAAATGATGTTTGGCTAAACATGCTAAAGAAAGAGACCCGATATGTTCATGACAAACATTTTGAAGTTCTGCATTCAGACTTGGAACCACAGATGAGGTCAATACTTCTAGACTGGCTCTTAGAGGTATGTTCCAGCAGTACAAATTTCCTGTTTCTGTATGATGGAAATATTTAGAAGTAAAGGTGCTTTTCATGTGCCCTCACGATGTATTATCCATGGCTAGCAGCCACCTTGTTTGGGGCTACTTACTATAGTTTATAGTACCGAAATGGAAAATCATGAGGACACAGCCACTACATCTCAATCTCACACAGCCCAGACCCAATTCAGAATTCTTGCTATTGGGATATTGCTGTGTACCAGACACCGTTCAAGGTGCTGAGGGTATTCAAGATGAATAGAATATATAGTTGACAAGGTTTTGAATTCTGCTATGCAAAGTGAAAAGACTAGGCTTCAGAGCTTTCAAAGTCCTTTCTGTATCATCAAAATCAAGGTATAATTTGTAATCCTGATTTCTATGTCCTAAACCAGTGGTCAGCAAACTGATTAGTCCACAGAGCAGCAAACCCCGGCTCGCGAGCCGCAGTTTGCTGACCACTGATCTAAAGGAATGTGTGATCTTGAAGTCCCTACAGATGTGTGTCAGACTAACTTGTTTAAGCCCACTCACTGTTACTGAGGGAATGATTACTTACATTGAAGACAAACTGATTTTTGCTCTGTAACTTCCCTAATAGATAGAAATGATATATCCTAAGGGAGAAAAACTAGCCTTTTTGGCGGAGTAACACATGGTAGAGTACATCTGCCAGAAGCTACTCAAAAAAGTCTTTAGGACTACAAAATGTTTTGAGTCAGATTATCTTAATTCCTTATTCTGACCAGAAAGGAAGATTGTATTCCAGCCATGAAGTTGTAAGGTGGTGGTTTTTTATTTTTTTTAAGTGTCTTGTGATAGTGGAAGCAATTTAAGCACAATTATGTTGATTTTGCTTTATTTTCCTTTTTACGTTTCACTGATTTTTATCTAGTGATGGTCTATGAAATGTATTCATATTTTCCCTTACGTATATGATTAGGTATGCAAAACTGTACAGAATATATTAAGACAAATCCAACAGCTGAAACCGGTTTGGCTCAGTGGATAGAGTGTCGGCCTGCATTCCAGTCAAGGGCATGTACCTTGGTTGCAGGCACATTCCCAGAAGGGGGTGTGCAGGAGGCAGCTGGTCGATGTTTCTAACTCTATCTCTCTTCCTTCCTCTCTGTAAAAAATCAGTAAAATATTTTTTTTAAAAAAAGACAAATCCAACAGTGTTAAATTCTACTTTGTCTTAGGATACAGGGTGGGGCAAAAGTATGATTAGAGTAGGTTTAAAGTTGTTCATATGGAACATAACTATTGAGTAATCACAACTCTAAACCTACTTTTGCCAAACCCTATATCCTTTCAGCATTTGAAAGATGGTTCAGCATTTGAAAATCTGTTTATTACCTAAATAGTTTAAATCATAAATCTCACTATATGTGGAAGATATTTTTTGAAATTCAGTATCCATCTCTGATTTTAAAACATGTAGTAATAAATTTCTTTGATACATTGTTTATCATAACCTCTATCCCTCTGTTTTCTTATCTTCAAAATGGGGATAACAGCCCTTAAAAGCTTCCCCTATGATAAATGTGGAAATGAAAGATACTATTTATTATTAATAATAATTTACAGGGGAATTCCCATTACAGTCCTAAAAAAGATATGATTAAAAAAAGTTTATCATTAATGTTAATTCAGTTTTCTTCTATAATTTTACCCAGTA